GTATAGAGGCTTTCTTGAGAATCTGCTATGAAGGGAGCAGAGAGAGGAAGAAGATGGAGGGAGACTGGGGGGTCAAGGTGAGGTTTTCAAGGATGAGAAAGAGTGGAGCCTATTTGAATGCTGATAGAATGAACCAGTGAAGATGGTGAAAGGTATGTGATCTAGCACAAATGGAAGGACTGGTCTTTAATAGGAGGAAGGGCACTTCTTCCATTGTTGATATAGGAAAGGAGGAGTAGATGCAAATGCAGGTAGAAGTCCAGATTTGGTGACTGAAAGATAAGGTTTTTCTCTTTTATCATTGAATACGAAGGAAATCAGCCTAGAGTGAGGGGAAAGAGAATATAGGGGAGGAAGAGGAAGAGTACGAAATAGTGGGAAATCTATCTGGGTGCAGTGGCTCACGCCTGTAATCCCAACACTTTGGGAGGCCAATGCAGATGAATTACCTGTCAGGAGTTCAAGACTAGCCTGGCCAACATTGTGAAACCCCATCTCTACTAAAAATACAGAAAAAAAAAAAAAAAAAAAAAAAAAAGCTGGGCATGGTGGTGGACGCCTATAATCCCAGCTACTTGGGAGGCTGAGGCAGGAGAATTGCCTGAACCTGGGAGGTGGAGGTTGCAGTGAGCTGAGATTCCACTCTTGCACTTCCAGCCTAGGTGACAGGGAGAAACCCTGTCTCAAAAAAAAAGTAGCTAATTTCTGTGAGTATTGAGTGACCATTTGAGGATAGTGGTAAGGAATATAAAATCATTTGTGAGATACTCAGTAAACATTAGCTATCATTATTTTTCTTTAAATTTTTTTTTATAGAGACAGTGTCTTACTCCATTGCTCAGACTGGGGTGCAGTGGTGCCATCCTAGTCCACTGCAGCCTTGAACTCCTCAGCCAGAGTGATCCTTCTGCCTCACCATGTCAAATAGCTGGGACTACAGGCACTCTATCATTATTTTAAAATGCTAAGTAAATTGCCTGGAATTATGCAACTAATTTAGGTGATGGAGGTGGGATTTGAACCCTGAGTAAGCTACTATTAGAGCCAGAGCTTTCATCACCATCCCAGACAGGCTGAGGTAGTTTGGGGTGTCAGGCAAACCCTCTGAATGGCTAGAGCACCCTCTGGCAGTTGGAGAAGCACCAGCTTTCATAGATCACTTGTGGTCCTCTGGGTTGAAGCAGCTGAAGAAAACTCTGCCAGGATAAGCCTTCAGCTGCCATCCTTGCTGTTGCTCTGCAGAGGTCACACACATGACTGGATCAAAGTCAATGCCAGTGGTGAACAACTGCTTTATGACATGGTAGCCAATTCTGTAGCTAGGGTAGGAGGAGAACTTATTTTCAGCCATTGTTTCTCATTTAAATATTGGGTTTTAAAAAAATTACATGGTGAAAAAAAGAGTTTATTTTAAAGGTTTATTTTTTTTTTTAGTGGTATCAAACCACATTTAGTACAATCCCTACTTTATGGGTCTGGAGTTTAAATAGGGCTCAGAAAGAATAGCTCATGTCTGCTTCATGATGACTAGGATGACTGAGATGGCTCAAAAGGACATAAATGGTTGGAAAGGTTCAACTGGGACCACATATCTGCTATGGTTTGAATGTCTGTGACCCCCAAAATTCACGTTTGAATCTTAACCCCCAACATGATGGTATTAGGATATGGAACATTTGGGAGGTGATTAAGTCATAAGGGTGGAGCCCTTGTGAATAGGATTAGTGTCCTTATAAAAGAAGCCCCAGAGAGATCCAGCTCCTTCCACCATGTGAGGACACAGGGAGAAGTCAGCAATCTGCAGCTTAGAAAGAAGAGGGCTCTCATCAAAACCTGATTATGCTGGCAACCTGATTTTTAACTTTCAGCCTCCAGAACTGTGAGAAATAAATTTCTGGAGTTTGTAAGCCACCTAGTCTATGGTATTTTGTTATAGCAATCCAAATGAACTTAGGCAAATACTAAGGCCTTAATTCTGACTATCAGTTGGGTTTCTCAGTTTTCTCCACATCATATCTACGGAAGCTGAAATGTATAAGGTGGCTTCGTCATTTCCATGCCTGGCATCTAGGTTGAAATGGCTGGGCAGCTTAGGCTAGCTGGTCATCATTCTCTCCATATGATATCTCTGCTCAGGTAGCGTAGGCTTTCTCATAGCATAGCAATTTCAGGATAGCCAGACTTACATGGTGGCTAGCTTCATAAATGTGTAGTCATACTGTTTAGATTAACCTACTTTATAGCATTAAAAAATGTTATTGTGAAAACTGGTGCTGCAGTTTAGCCACTGAATCAGTATTTGGGCATTTTTAAGAAGCAGCAACATAGGAGTGCTTTCCATTCTTTTATCTTAAAATTAAATTAAAAACTATTGTGAAGCTAGGCCAACTGCTGGTTCACAGCAGTCTGCACCTTCTTGCACTAGTTTTGCAGCTGTTTCAGAGTTCTTGATCCAACTTGCCCAATCATGTCATACCAGCCTGGGATGGCTTATGGCCTTGAAACTTTCACTCCTTTGGCATGCACTGTATTTTGTTAGGTAAAGTTGTCATTGGACATATGAAGATCCAGAAAAATGTCCTCATCTTGTGATACATCTTTAAATTCTACTCAAGGGAATTTACCTTAAGCCAAATTTTAAAAATTCAAAAGAAGAAAGGTGGGGTGGTCAGAGGGAGAGAGAGAGAGAAAGTACAAGTAGCCTATGTATTAGGCAATAAGATAATGGGTCATACATTCAAGATTTTTTATGTAGTGTAGTGATTATGAACATGAACTCCAGAGTTAGAATCATACTGCATGAGTTCAAATCCTGATTGTGCCACTCACTTCCTACCTGTGTGATGACTTGGGGCAATTTATTTAACCTGTGCCTCAGTTTCCTCATCTTTAAAATAGTGATGATGATAGTATCTACCTTATGAGAATGTTTAGAAGACTAAGTAAGATAACATGTGAGAAATAATATGAACACTGCTGGAAAATAGTGCTGAATTAGCAGTAGTTATTAAATTTTTGAAATAACATTTACTGGAACCTACTATTTGCTAGATGCTGAAGTGCTGGAAATAACAAGTTGAATAGACCATAATTTCTACTCTGCTGAGAAAGATAAGCATGGAGCATGCATGGGAAGTCCAGAACAAAATGGTGACATGTATAAAGGTATCTAGGAGTGTGGATGTGGGAGGACCTCCCTTTTTCTGTGGAGGAGAAGATATGCTTCCCATAGGAGGTGATGTTTACACTGAATGTTAAAGGGTAAGTAGGAGTTTAAGTAGTATGCACTACACTGTGTACTTTTCAGGGAAAACAGGAAATGTGCACTGGGGAGGGGATGGGGAGGACAGTGATGAGTCTGGAAGTGTAGGCAAGAGCCCAGATCTGAAGGGCTGTGTGAACCATTAGGAGTGGTTTGGCCTCTACTGGGTAGTTGGTTGGGAGTCACAGAAGAAACATATTTTAGGCCTGGTTGCTATATGATGTCTAGCTGCTGCATGCTGCTTGATAGATTGATAGAAGACCACCAAAAAGCAAGGGGACCAGTAAGGAAACATTTGCAGTAATCTAGGTGAGAGAGTATGTTGTTCTGAACTAAATCAGTGGCAGGAGATACTTAGGTATAGCTCAGGTTTCTGGCTTGGGTGCCTGAGCAGATGGAGGAAAGTGGTTAAGTTAGAGGGAATGTCATATGATCTCTAAAATGATTATTATAAAGGCTTTGTAACACTTTGGGAAAATATTCATGATCTAATATTACTGATGAAAGCACCCTAATCATGTTTGTACCATTATCACTACAAACCAAGCAAACATATTCAAAGATGAAGTGAGGAAGGGACAAAAAATAATCAAAATAGTTTGATTCTTAGGATATTAAGATTATAGATGAAAATCTTCATGACTCTTATATAACTTTGAAAACAAATATAGCAAATTAGAATGAAATTGGGTTTGAAATTTTGCCTTTCTTTTAGATTTTCTTTAATACTTTTTTTTTTTTTTTTTGAGACAGAGTTTCGCTCTTGTTACCCAGGCTGGAGTGCAATGGCGCGATCTCGGCTCACCACAACCTCCGCCTCCTGGGTTCAGGCAATTCTCCTGCCTCAGCCTCCTGAGTAGCTGGGATTACAGGCACGTGCAACCATGCCCAGCTAATTTTTTGTATTTTTAGTAGAGACGGGGTTTCACCATGTTGACCAGGATGGTCTCGATCTCTTGACCTCGTGATCCACCCGCCTCGGCCTCCCAAAGTGCTGGGATTACAGGCTTGAGCCACCGCACCCGGCCCTTTAATTCTTTAACTTTATAAATTAACAGCTTAATGGAGGTATAATCCATGTAACATATAATTCACATATCTAAATGGTATAATTCAATGGTTTATATTTACAGAGTTTTGCAACCATCACCACAATCAATTTTAGAACATTTTCATAACTCTCAAAAGAAATTCCATATCTATTAGCAGTCATTCATCATTATCCCCTACCCCCAATATGAGGCAAACACTACTTAATGTCTCTATAGATTTGCCTCATATAGACCTTTCATAAAAATGGAGTCATACATTGTGTGGTCTTTTGTGACTAGCTTCTTTTACTTAACATATGTTTTCAAGGCTCATCCATACTGTAGCAGACATTGGTACTTCATTCCTTTCATGGCTGAAATATATTCCACTGCATGGATATACACTTTATTTATCCATTTATCAGTTGACGGTTATTTGGGTTGTTTCCACTTTGGGGCTATCATACATAATGCTGCTAAGAATATTTATGTACAAGTTTTTGGAAGGTATGTTTTAATCACTCTTGGGTATATGTTGACTCTTAAAGTATAAAAATGCAAAAGTGCATGAGGAAATTGGGGGGGCATTGGTATATTCCATATCATGATGTGGTAGCAGTTATATATCTGTATACGTTTGTCAAAACTCATTGAGCTGTACACTTATATTAACACATTAATTGTATCTCAGTAAAACTGATCCCCAAAATAAATGATGGAATGATACGGAAACAGATTTAAAGGCATGTTAATATGCATAATGTTTCGGCACTATTATTTAATGCTTTTCCATATACCATTTATTCTCACATATATTATTACCTCCTTGAAACAACCAACCAACCAAACACTGTGATCATTCCAGTAACCCAGTAAGGTAAGTAAGAAGGTATTATTATGTTCATTTTGGATAAAAGGAAAATAAATGTACTAAGACTGGTTTGCCCAATGTCACAGAGCTGCCAAATAGCAGAGGCAGAATTTCTCCCACCTTGCACCTCTGTAGCTTTCAAATGCCTAATCAAATTTGCTTACTAAGATTAAGGGACAAAGGAGCTATTTCTGTATAGATTTTATATTTGGACAGCAGAATAAAGAAGTTTCCCCATGCTGGCTCTTCTATGACCTAGAAGAAAAATGAAAAAAAGTGATACACACTAAATCTCCAAACTAGAACAGGACCTCTAAAATGCAAGAAAAATGTGATATACCCGACTTTTGATTGTAAGGCTCTTTTAAGTTGCTCTAACACTTGAGTTTTGACATTACTTAACAGAATGTCTTTCTATCTTTACCAGTTTCTGCTGATCCTAAGCTGATGTATGCTCAGACCCTTTGCCCACTCACTGTACCCTGCTCTATAAGGGAGGAGGGCTGACTCCTGTAGGCTGTGTTTCTCAGGGTTCAGTGCCAGCTGTCTTCCAGTTGGCTTTAGCCACTGAGATTCACTGGTGGGAGAACAGCAAAGTTTTTCTCTCCTTCCCTCACTGCCTTGGATAGCATCTCCTACAGCTACTGCCCCTCTTCTGAAGTCTCTAGCACCTACAGGACATGTCTGCTTTGACTCTGCCTTCCTAACTCCTGGGCTGTGGTTATACCAACTTTACCTCTTGCCTTGCCAGACCATGGTGGTGGCTTCCTGGTGTTGCTAATGTCTGGGTTGCCTCACTGTCATCTGATTAGCTTGTCTGCTTCTTCCTACATCACATTCTCTGTCCCCTGAATACCCAGGGTGGTTTCTCTTTTCCTGGCTGGACTTTGAATGATAGACCATTTATACTGTTGAATTGGGATGTTTATTAGTCTGTTCTCACACTGCTATAAAGAAATACCTGAGGCTGGGTAATTTATTTATTTATTATTATTTTTTTTTTAGGAACATTTTTTTTTTTTTGAGACAGAGTCTCACACTGTTACCCAGGCTGTACTGCAGTGGTGCGATCTGGGCTCACTGCAATCTCCACCTCCTGGGTTCAAGCAATTCTCCTGCCTCAGCCTCCTGAGTAGCTGGGACTACAGGTGTGTGCCACCACTCCCAGCTAATTTTTTTTTTTTTGTATTTTTAGTAGAAACAAGGTTTCACCATGTTGGCCAGGATGGTCTCGATCTCCTGACCTCATGATCCACCCGCCTCAGCCTCCCAAAGTGTTGGGATTACAGGCGTGAGCCACCATACCCAGCCAAAGGAACATATTTTAAGAAGAAGAACTCAGTGTTAACCTAGCTCTTAGTTTCTGAGTGGGCCAGACAAATAAGCAATTCTTTTTTTTTTTTCACATACACAAATGAATTTTTTTTTAATTGCATTTTAGGTTTGGGGGTACATGTGAAGAACATGCAAGATTGTTGCATAGGTACACACATGGCAGTGTGGTTTGCTGCCTTCCTTCCCCTCACCTGTATCTGTCATTTCTCCCCATGCTATCTCTTCCCACCTCCCCACCTCCCCGTCCCTCCCCCATTTCCCCCCAGTGGACCCCAGCGTGTAGTGCTCCCCTCCCAATTAATTCAACCATTGTGGACGACAGTGTAGCGATTCCTCAATGACCTAAAAATAGAAATCCCATTTGACCCAGCAATCCCATTACTGGGTATATATCCAAAGGATTATAAATCATTCTACTATAAGGACACATGCACACGAATGTTCATTGCAGCACTGTTTACAATAGCAAAGACCTGGAGCCAACCCAAATGCCCATCAATGATAGACTGGATAGGGAAAATGTGGTACATATACACCATGGAATATTATGCAGCCATCAAAAATGATGAGTTTGCGTCCTTTGTAGGGACATGGATGAACCTGGAAACCATCATTCTCAGCAAACTGACACAAGAGCAGAAAATCAAATACCGCATGTTCTCACTCATAGGCAGGTGTTGAACAATGAGACTGGGTAATTTATAAAGAAAAGAAGTTTAACTGATTCATGGTTTCACAGGCTGTACAGGAAGCATGGTGGCATCAGCTTCTGGGGAAGCCTCAGGGAACTTACAGTCACAGCAGAAAGTGAAGGGAGAGCCACCACTTCACATGGCCAGAGCAGGAGGAAAAGAGAGAAGGGGGAGGTACTAAACCCTTTCAAACAACCAGATATCATGAGAACTCACTGTCATGACAGCAACACCAAGGTGATGATGCTGAACCATTCATGAAGGATCCACCTCCATGATCCAGTCACGTCCCATCAGGCCCCACCTCTAACATTGGGAATTACAATTCCATATGACATTTGGGTGGAGGCACAGATCCAAATATCAGGATTAAACCTAGGACTGTACCTGAAAATAGTTTTAAGGTTTTAACCATTTTACTTGGCATCTCTTTCTGGTCCAACCCTTAGGTACATTTAGATATGATATTCATTATTCTAATATGAGTGGGTATATTTGTGTCAGAAATGCAACTGTTAGAAAATGAAAATGTATTTTTCAAATAGGCTGGCCTACAATCACATCTAACAGCTGAAATAAGACTTTTATAGGTCTGACTGTCAAATAAGTATTTAGCTGCTCATTTTGTCTTATATAATCTTTCATGTTAAATTAATATAGTAAGAGATTTATTAGTTGCTCACAAACTGTTCAATGTGGTCAGCTGAGGGTTTCTGTACCATGCAGTTATTTAGGGACCTTATGTGTTGACATCTAGTTGGCCAGAACTCAGTCACATGGCCCCTAATTGTAGGAGAGGCTGAGAAATGTAGTTTTAACTATGTGCCCAAAAGGAAAAAGAAATGATTTTGGAAAACATATGGCCAGTCTCTACCACAGTTGGCCCTTTTGGTCAATAAATTTTTATTTTATTCTTCCTCTCATAAACAGAGTATACTCCCCCACCACACTCCCCTGGAGATTATTCCCAGGCATTGTGTTCAGCTAAAAGCCCTGGGACTCACGTCCATCTAGTATAGATGTGGTTCTTTCTCATTGAGTAATTTATAAACTAAAAAGAAGAGCTTTCTACCTCCTGCTCCGTTCCCATTGCCAAATATACAAAGGTAAGCAGAGACAAAAAACTGCAGTGTCTCATCTGGAAAGGTGAAAGATCAAAGACACAAAGCCATCACTTGTCTAGAGCAGTCTGGTAAGCATTGCGAAGTTTCCCTGACCAAGAAGCATTAGGAAATTTACTTGGACTGTTTCTGTTCTATGGCAGAAATTATTTGCCCATTTTTCTGTGATTCTCTGGCTCCACTCATTGGGAATTCTCTTAATTGCCATTATCCTCTGTGGTGATATCTGAAGTGGGTGATAGTGAGTAAGCTGTCTCTAGGCTATGTAGATTTTGGAGTTGGCTTCCTTCTCATGTAAAGCTGAGAGCCCAAGGGTGGTTGTTGTTTTATGCCTTGACTATTCTTTTTCCCAGACTTATGTTTTCTTTGGAAATAAAATTTCCTCAGAAACTTAACAGGCTTCTCACTGACTTCTTTCTAGACAGATCCTGTGCCACAAACAACATCCCAAATATTTTCCTGACATAGCTCTTCATATTCTTTATGTCTTTTTTCCCATGCCTCTCCCAAGAGGTGGCCTACCTATTGGCAGCCACCTTGATTCTGTTAGGACTGAGTGGGAAGGCCACAATTTTAATGTGATCTTTGCCATAAGGCAGTGACCTAGCAGGCCTTTGTTTCTCAGAGTTTGCCCTATCTTATTTCCTTCTATTTAGGATCTAGAAGTAGTAGTTTAAGACTCCAAATTTATGTAATTTTTTTATTTTCTTTCATTTCTCCTTGTACACTGCCTATACTTGCCAGCCAGTAGTGGCCAATGTACACCAACAATCTGGTTCTTTCCAGCTGCTTCTCTTGGAGCTGACAGATCAGTAAACATATGGCCTGTCTATTAAGTTACTATAAGCGAGAATTTTTGGCAAATGTTTTGCTGCTGCATAGCATGGATTGCCACCTTTTCTGCCTCTGGCATTAGTTTCCTTTCTTCCCACAACTGGTATGCTAAGCTAGTGCCATCTATTTTAGGTTTTTGTTTTAGGAACAACCTACTTCAAGGTCCCATTTGTGGTTTTAGTCATAATAGTAGTGCTAGTTGTATAAAAACAGTCTCCAGATCTCAGTGGCTTAACACAATACACACATAAAGTTCAGTTCTCACTCCACTGTCCAATGTAGGGGTAAGGGGAGAGAGGGAACTCTCCTCCCTTCAGTCAAGCAGAGACTAAGCTAACAGAGGCCCCATCATCTTTAGTGCATGACCCCCAAGGTTCTCCAACTTGCAGCCAGCAGGTGGGAGAGGAAGAGAACATGATCACATGGCATGTTTCAGGAACCAGGCCTGTGAGTAGCGTATCACTTCTGTATACGTGCTAGAGTCTATCATATGGCATTACTAACATCATGGGGGAATGGGAAATTTAATTTTCTGTCCAAGAAGAAAATGAAATAGGTTTGATGAAAACAGCATTGTCTCGTCCACAGATACTATTAAGTGGCTTGCTCAATTTCCATTTCACCTTTCTGGTATGCATTTCTATACTTCCAAGGCTGAGAAGCTAAAACTTATTTCTGACTCCTTGCAGCTAGAATTCTGGGTGCTAAGTTGGGTCTGCTAATTTGGTTCTACCAATTACCCAAAAAAAATCTGGAGGTAGGAAATGAAGCAAAGGCCATTTTCCTACCCTCTGGCTGCTTTCTACTGGTAAATGCATTATAAAAAGGAGCAATTTTTTTCTGCAGCACAACCCCCAGTGTACATTTTTCAACTTTCTGGGTATCAAGCTTTAGTGGCAATTGCAGTGGCTTTGTGATTTCCAATATTTAGCTCACAGACACAATGGAGTGTTCTTGAATTCAGTTGCCTTGGCCTCCCATGTAGGAATCCCCCATGTGGCCAGTTAGGTAAGGGTACTAGAAGTGATTTCTGGAAACTCCACTGAGAGCCCAGTCTTTCAGTCCTTCTAATAATACATATATATTTTTATTTCCTACTTCTACTTATTTTTATTTATGTGTTTATAATGAGGCAATTAATAGCCATAATTAACATCCATGAACCCACCTTGAAGGCAATAATCAAAACATGGCCAATAACTTATCTATGTCCTATCTATGCACTCTTCCTTCAACTTACCTTCCTGCTCCATCTCAAAGATAAGCACAATGT